ACTGGAGGGGTCTGTGTTGCAGTGCCCATGGCTGTCTCCAGAACGACCTCAGAGACACTCAAGCACAAGATCAGCCCCTCTGCCGGGGAGACGCAGCCGCGAGCCATCGATGTCCTGCTGTACACGCCAGGTGAGGGCCTGTGGGCGGGGAGACCGCTGGCTGGGGCACCTGGGTCCCAGCGCTTTGTCGAGAGGACAGACCCTGAGGGGCAGGCGCGTGCCACCCTGTCCAAGGGGCCTGTGAGGATGTTTCCATTGGGTGGTCACTCTGCGCCCCCCATTTGAGGCAGCTTGTGGCGCCCACCCACTCACCTCACTTCCTGTCGTCGCTGTGACCCCGTGGGTCCACCTGAGGCCTCTTCTCGCCCCTGAGCCCGCCCCGGCCGGTGGCGGGAGATGAGAGGATGTCTGCTCTGCCCCCGTGCCACGGGCGCTTCCCTCGGGACCTGGGGCAATGGATGGTGGGTGTTGGGATCCACAAAGGCCCCGCAGGCTTGCCCCTGTCAAAGACACTCCATCTTGCTCCCAAGCCAGCCCCCAGCGGGCACTGGTCCCCACGCCTCACCTGAGGCGGGCCTCCCTGGAACACTGCTGCCTTCCTCCATAGGGCACCTTGACCCGGCAGAGAAACTGGCCGACGCTCGCCCCAAACTATGGTGCGCCCTGAGTGAGGGCAAGGTGGTGGTATTCGATGCCTCCTCCTGGACTGTCCACCAGCACTGCTTCAAAGTGGGCAGTGCCAAGCTGGTGAGTGCCCCCAAGGTCCTGCGTGCCCGCCTTCTCGTGAGCTCCCAGGGTGCAGTGGGACTTCTGAAAGAGCCTACCACGCCAGCGGGCACATAGCCCAGCACCCAAACAGGCCACCCTCCAGCCGTAGGTCTCCGTGTGCTTCCCTCTCTCCTCTTCCCCTCCCCCAAACTTCGGGAGACTTGAGCTGCCCACACCGATGGTCCCCCATTTCTACTTACCAGTCGGCTCCACTCTTTGGGTGTCTCTCACCCGGTTCGTTTCTGCTTTTAAACTCCAGTGCAGTGACTCCACGCTTACTGCACGTAGACCCTGCATGTCCACGGACGGTGAGCAGCATGTTTGTGCGCTAGCTCCTCCTTCTTCCTGCCTTCTTCCCAGCCCAGGGACCCCCGGGGACCCCTAGGAACGCTGGTCTCTGCCCACGTGCCTCGTCCTGCCCTTTTCTATCTCGAGGCCACCGAGGGCCTGGCCCTCCGCGCTGCGCTAGCCTGTTCTGCTCGGTGGAATGTCGTCAGGCCCCGTCTGCACGGTCCAGCCTGCCCTCCCCTCCAGGCTGAGGTGTCCCCCCAGGGTGTGCAGCTGCCCCATCACCTGTGGAAGGGCATGTGTGACCTTTCTGCCTTGTGGCTGCTGTGACCCATCTGCAGTAGTGACCTCTGGGTCCCAGGGTGGGCTCTGAGGCCTCTGGATGCAGGCCTGGGCGTGGGATCGCTGGCTCAGGACACGGGCTGGTTCTAGTTCCGTGTCCCAAGGAGCGGCCAGGCTGTTGTCTGGGGGAGGGGCACTGTTTGGCGTTCCTTCCGTTGATGGGTAAGGGTTCTCCGCTCCTTGGAGCCCTGCCGACTTGGGTTACGGTCAGTCTGTCTTTGTTTTCATCTTAGCCACCCCCTTGAAAGTGGGGTGACTTGCCTCTCTGAGGGCCGGGAACATCGAGCGTCCATGGGAATGTCCCTTGCTGAGACGTCCTTTCAAGTCCTTTGGGGTTACTTCCTCTTCTGTTAAGTTTCGTATCTATTTTGGTGGGGGTTTCTTATCAGACTGACAGTTCCCAACGATAGAGCTCCTCGTTGGTAGTTTATCTTTCCGTGGTTCTGGTAACATCTTTTTATGAACAGAAGTTTTAACGATCCCCGCTTGGCTTGTTTGGGCCTTTGCCGCCCGTGTTTCTGCTCTTGGGCGAGACACCCCGTTGGCGGCGGGAGCTGGTCCCGGCCCTGTCGACCTGTCGTGGTTTCACCTTGCGCCTCTGGGCCCCTGCCCTTCTTGACCTCGTTTTGTGTGTGGAAATCCAGTGTCCCTGCAGCATTTACTGGAGAGCTCTACTTGGCTCCTTGAGCAGACTTAGCCCCCTTGTCAAAAGCAGTTGACCGTGGAGGTGTGGGGCTCTCTCTGGACTCTGTTCCACTGGCCTGCGTGTCTGTCGTGAAACCAACACCAGGCGGCTTTGATTGTTGTAGCAACGGGTCGCCATCACCGCCACCAGCCCTTTCTAAATGGTGGGGATCGTTTTTGGTAAAATGTGAGCGACCCAGCCCTTATGAAACCTTCCCTCTGAGCGCAAGATGCGTAACCACTGGCTCCCCTGAAAGAGACCCCATCTGGAGCCCCACAGTGAGAGCCGGAGCAGCAGAAACTCGGCGGCCCTGCCCACTGCCCTCTCACAGGTCACTCTCCCTGCTCGGCCACGCAGTTCTGTGGGAAGTCCCTCGGGCTCTATCAGGCCTGGCTCCCCGACCCTGCCTCCACCCACAACTCTGTCCCACCACCCGCGCGTGCGCAAAGCCGAGAGGTGTGCATGTGTCTACCGATGGAGATGGTTCTGAGTGGTGGCGAGGTGGCTGCTGGCGGGCTCTGACGGCGCTAGTCAGAAGCCCCTGCACGCACCCATGCAGCGTGGACCACTCTCGGATGGTTTACTCCCTAATGCCTGGGTTCGAGGAGTCTGGAGGCGGCCGCTGGCAGGGGCCTGCGCTCAGCAGAGGCTCTAGACTGTCCTGTCCACTCCCGGGCCCACGGTCGCTCTGTCTGTGGCTAACGTGTTTCTGCACCCCTGCGGCTTCCGCTAGAACTGCATGGTGATGGCCGAGCAGAGCCAGGTGTGGGTGGGCTCCCAGGACTCCGTCATCTACATCATCAACATCCACAGCATGTCCTGCAACAAGCAGCTCACGGACCACCGGGCCAGCGTCGTGGATTTGGTTGTACAGGACGGAGAGCAGGCACCCAGGTAGCCAGCGCCGGGCCGGCCATGGGGAGTGATGGGGCTGGGCTTTGAAATCAGCGTGCTCATGGTCTGCCTCCAAACGACCCGAGCTGGTGGCTTTGAGGGAGACCAGTGACATCAGTCTGCAGAAACCTGCGTTTTGCTGGGGGCCTGGCTCTGCACCCCTGCCGCAGCCCTGGAGCGATGCGCTTGGCTGCCAGGTCACGTGCTGCAGGGGCGGTGGAACTAAGGCTGGAGGTGCTTCGGAGGACAGGCCAGGTGATCTCTGTCCAGAGAGTCACCCACTGCCAAGTTCCCTCTGGGCACGGCTGTGCTGGGACACACATGGCATTACTGGGGGCAGGGGGCATGTGTATCATGGTGACGTCCTTCCTGATGGGCTGTACGCCATTCTTCCCTGTGCCCCCAGAGAGGTGTTCTCCTGTAGTGGGGACGGGACAGTGCTGGCGTGGAGCGTGAGCACTCTGAGGGTCACCAGCAGGTTCCAGCTGCCCGGCTGCAGGCTGACGTCGGCCAGACTCCACCAGGGCCGCCTGTGGTGCTGTGAGTTCCCGCCGTCCCCGGTCACTGGGGCTGGGGTGGGAGGAGGTACACCCATGCCGTGGCCGGGCATCCCAGGGCTGCTGCCACCAGCCAGCCCAGAGCAGGTGGCTCTTAAGAATAGGCGGTCTGGTCCGTGGGAGGGTGGGCTGTGATGAAGGCTGTGCTCAGTCACTGTAGGCAGAGGCTTCCTCCCTGGGGGGACTGCCCACCTCTGCCCCACCCCCCGCCCCAGAGCTGGAACCCTTCCTAGCCCAGTATGGCTGAACTTAGTGTTCCCCAAAATGGGAGATACCGGTCCCCTGGCAGCTGCTGGAACCATCAGGGGTGGGGGTGGGGCATGGAGCACCCCAAAAGCTGATAAGTCAAACCAATTCCCTGGCATCAAGGGTGTCTGTGGCAGGCTCCCCACAAGGCAGCACTGCCCTGTCCTCCAGGGTCACTGGGACCCTGCACTGGCACAGTGGCAAGGACATGATCTCTTTTTGGGGTGTCAATTGTGTTCCTCCAGGATCCCTGGGGGGGGGTACCGTGGGGAAGCCCTTGGCTGCCAAGTGCCAGGTGGGCCGTTTGCACCACCAGCTCCTCCTCGGGAGGAAGCTGCCACAGGGTGCTTCTGTAACCCGGTCGGTCCTGCCCAGACGCTCAGCGGGAACCACCGTGCAGGCAGTGGGTTGTGTGTGGTTTTCCGAGTTTGCGTTTCCGTCATCACTTGGTTTGGGACCCACCGCAGGGCACTGCCTTTCCCGCTTGAGTCAGGGAGCCATGGTGGCGTGGGGGGTTCGTGCTGGCGTGCTGGGGGAAGCTGGGCAATTTCAAACCCACTGGCCCCGCCGAGTGGGGAGCACAGGGCTGTCTGCCCCTGCTGAGACCTGCAGTCTCAGAAAACCCCATCACCTTGCCGGCAGCGGGCTTGGTTTTCTCCGGAGCTGAGAGGGCTGGTGGCACAGGGGTTGAAGTACCTGCCTGCTAACGGAAGCTTGGAGATGAGAGGAGGTGCTGGCGCTCTGGGGGGGTCCTGGGGACACTGTGCTAGGCCAGTGAAGGGCTGGAGCCCACCCACAGTGTGTAGCCGTGGCCCGAGGGTGGCAGGTTCTCGGACAGGCTGAGAGAGAGGCTGGGAGAAGCAGACACCCAGCCCCTGGGCAAGGTGAGGGCGCCCAGCGCCGTCTGTCCATGTTTTGCAGAGCCTCGGGAAAGGAGGTGTAGGCAGGCCTGGTCGCCAGAGCGTGATGCGGGGCAGGGGAGGGAGAGCTGGTGGTCATTGCAGCCGGACTCATGCGGTGTGCTCCCCCACACCGCAGGCACAGGAAACAGCATCGTGGTGGTTACGACCAACGGTTTTGTACGCCAAGAACTGAAAATCAAGGACAGCTTCCCGGAGGAGCTGGGCACCACCTTCCTGCGCTTCCAGCTGATCCTGGAGGTATGGGGTGGGGTCGACAGCGGGGTGGGGGTGGGGCAGTCCCGGTGGGCGGGGCTAGCCGGGTGGAGGGCCCTGAGGGCGGGGCCAGCGGGCCGAGCTGGCAGCCCCTGTGCGGGGCATGCTCAGGCTACGCGGTTCTGGGTCCAGCAGGAGCAGTTGTGGGCTGCCTGGGCGGGGTACAGCGAGATCCAAATCTGGAGCCTGCGGGACCTCAGCCGGCCCCCCCAGAGGGTCCCCCTGCAGGACTGCATGGAGGTCAGCTGCATGATCAGGGTCAAGAGGCAGGTGAGGTGCCGCTCGCCGTCGGTACGCGTGGGAACGGGCAGCGTCATCGGTGCTGGGTGTCCACCTGGGTGGGCAGCAGACGGCCTGGCCGTACAGTTGAAGCCTGTTTCTTCCGGCAGATCTGGGTGGGCGGCAGGGGGCTGTCGCAGGGGCAGCCCAGAGGCAGAATCTACGTGATCGACGCCGATCGGAAGACGGTCGACAAGGAACTGGTGGCCCACGCGGACACGGTGACCACGCTCTGCTCGGCTGAGGACCGCTACGTGCTCAGCGGCTCTGGCGGGGAGGAGGGCAAGGTGGCCATCTGGAAGGTGGAGTGAGCGAGGCCCCTCGTCCAAACCTGTGTCTGTGGCTCCAGTCTGCACAGCGTCCAGCTCTGAGGGCAAGCTCAGCCGTGGGGACGGCGGTGGACACGGGGGCACCACTCCCTGGACTCAGTGTGAGGGCACGTCCCCTTGGGGGGCTTCTAGGCCAGCAGCCAGGTCCCATCTAGAAAGCTCTGGCACCGAGTGGGGAGGACAGTATTCACGTGGGTGTTCCTCTCCATCGAACTTCTCAGGGAGTGTCTGGGGGCCCCGGGCTCTCAGGACTGCCCCCAACAAGACCCAGATGAGAATGCCACCCCCTCATGGACCGCCCTGGGGTGAGAGAGGCCCTGCCTTTTCTGGTCAACACAGCAGTCTCCCCTGGGCAGATAAAATCCTCATCAAAAGGCTAACCCACCACCCAGCCTGGGGGTCACTACCTGGACAGCTACGGCCACAATGGAGCTGGCAGTCACTGCCTCCCTGGGGCACAACTGGGTGCCAGCATGGGGCTAGGCGATTCACACAGGGAGCTTGTCCGAAGGCCCACTGGCCAGCCTTATCTTCCTGTGTGGAAGGTTCTGGTGCTGGTTGGATGTGGCGGTCAGTGGTCAGCCGGCCAGTGGACACCACCCCAGCTGCTGGGCCTCAGAGCTGCCCCTAGCTGCTCCCAACCTTTGCCCTTGCCCGTGTAAGCCCAGCCCCTGGCAGGCCCGCAGCAAGCCGGGGCTTCGGTGGCAGCGTGGGCCCTGACCTGCCTGGTTCAGCAGCACACCTGACTGATATCCCCCCAGCTCCTGGTTTGGGGGTCACTGCTTGCTTTCTGGAATGTTCAGGGCCGTCAGGCTGAGAAGGGGGGGTCCCTGGCTTTGCCCTGGGGTCTGCCCTGTGTGAGGACGGTCAGCTCCAAGAACCAAAGGAGGAGGGGTTTGGCTTCTGTAAATTGAGAAGGAATGGGGAGCCTGCCTGCCCGCTGCGGGGGACTATTTAATGTCAGCGCACCAAGGGTGGCGCGGCCTTTGTAGTAAAAGTGCTTATTTAACACACTCTGGTGTCAGGTGTCTGGCAGAGCAGCCCCTGAGAACCGGCTCTCTGTTCGCTCTGGGCTCCACGGGGCCACCCTTGCAGCCATGTCGGCTTCCTTTCAATCCACGCAGCACGCCACGGTAGTAGAACCTAGAAAAACAAGCTCACGGCCATCCAGTCGATGCTGACCCAGCGACCCTGCAGGACAGGGTAGAACTGCCCCTGTGGGTTTCCGAGACTGTCACTCTACAGTAGACAGCCTCATCTTTCTCCTGCTGAGTGGCTGGTGGTTTTGAACCGCTGACCCTGTGGTTAGCAGCCAGGGTTCCTGCCCAAGCCCGTAAAGCCGCTGAGCAAGTTGGCCTCCTGCCAGGTGGGCCCTGCCCCCCCCCAGGGGCCCCCCCCCCCCCGTCGTCATTTTTACCGAGAGGCTGGTGGCCTTGAACTGCCGACCTTGTGGTTTAGTATCACCCCAATTCCCTGTGACATCTAACAGACCACGGGGTGGGTGCTCTCAGGAGGGCAGGGACGTACCGCGCAGGGGGCGGTGCCAGAGGGGGTTGGTGCTGGGAAGGTGAGTGGCTGCAGGGCCATTCTAGGCCCGAGCCCCAGTTATGCCACACACGGGCGAGCCTTCAAAACGGGGCGCCGAGTGAAATAGGGTGTCCGAGGACACAATCCCACCAGCACGGAGAAGCTACGCGCTTGAATACGGCTACCATTGAGTGACGCAGCCTCTGCCTCCTGGGGTTTCCAGAGCTGTGACTTTGGGGAGTAGAAAGCCTCATCTTTCTCCCACGGAGAAATTAGAATCCGCAAATGGAGACGGAAGACAAGCGGTTGCCAAGGGTTGGGGCTGGGGTGGAGACGGACTAGCGGTTGCTTGGGGGCTGGGGCTGGGGTGGGGGTGTGCTGGGGAGCTAAAGAAAGCCCACTTTCCTGAAGCACTCCACTCACCCGAGAGGGAACCAGCACCTCCGCCATCGCTCTGTCGGTCAGGGAGTGCACACACCACCTGGACTCGTGGGTGACGGAGATACCCAACAAGCATGAACCACAACTCGGGTGCACACGCGGGCAAGGGCTGGCTCTTGGTGAAAAGACACAGGCAGTTTTGGGGGTGGGGTGGGAGCAGGCTGAGGACCCAGGTGGGAAAGACACTGGTGTAGCTCCACCCACAGGCCCTCCCCAGGTCCGAGCACCAGGTAGGGGCTGGGGACCTGCAGCCCAATCCTATGGTGACAAACTGGGTGTGTCTCACATCACCTTGTGGGGTCAATGCTTGTGAAGGTGTAGTGCAGGGCCATGGGCACCGCATGCGTGCGCCAGAGAAAATCCTCTGATGTGCCACGGGAGCTCCGAGTTAACAGACGCCAGACCCGGCAGCTCGGCCACCTCGTGAGGAAGCTGGCAAGCTACCACCCCGCCACCCAAGGGCTCCTCACCCTGTGTTCAGAGCTCCGGCTCACCGAGTCCCCAGCGCAGGGGCAGGTGTCCAGGGGCTCAGGCAGGGCGGCAGTGGCTGGTTTGACTTACTAGCTGCTTTGAACAGGCCCCAAACACGGAAGCCTTTGGCAGAATCCTCAGGGCTGTAGGTATGTCCACCCCCTCTGCCCACCCCACAGGTCTGGATGCTGGGTGCCTTTCCGTGGCCACTGCCTCCAACAGGCATGTTTACACGATCTGCGTGTCCAGCTCAGCTCACCAGCTGGGCACCCCAGGTGCTAGCCCCGGGCCCTGGTGGCTCCTTCCCCCTGCCCCCTGCCAGAGGTGCTGGGTCTGGCCCCTAGATGCTGTGGCCTGCCTGGGACAGGGCCCTGAACTTCCACATGGAGCCCAGGTCCCCTGCCCTCCTGCGGGCTGACACTCCATGCAGACATACAGCTCTAGAAGGTTCTGGACTTGGCTGGCTTTCTCTGGGGAAGCACCGAGGCAGGCAGACGCTGCCCTATTTGGTAGCAGGGCTATTTTTACCCCAGGGCACTTGGCCAGCAGAGGCCCTACCAGGCATGTCCCTCCACCCCTGCCCGCCTGGCCAACCAAGCAGCACCAAACCAGGGGGCCGAGGCCATGCCCGCCAACATGCACACACTTATGCACGCACGTAGTTTTGCACACAGGCATGCACTCTGAGGGCATACTGCGATGCCCCTCCTGCTGGTGGGGAGGGGGGGATCTGGTGGTTGACCCTGACCCAGCCAGCTCCTTGGACAAGGGCAGAACCCCAGCCCCAGCCCCGCCCCAGCTGGGCTCAGTCAGAGACACAGACGATTCAAGTAATTTATTTAAAAACAGCTTTGTTTCATCTTGAAATATATATATATATTTGCTTCAGGATGGTCGTATTGCAGCATGATCCTCATGCACTCAGCACTGGTGTGAAAAACAGCGACTGGCAGCAGCGGCAGGATGTGCTGGCGGCCTGGCGCCGGCAGGGGGAGCACCCCTGCTCCGAACAGGCTCGTAGACAGTTCCACGTGGCGGCGGCAGGTGGCGCCAGTGCCCCCGCCAAGTCCAGGTGGGCCCCACACGGACCAGGGGCAGGAAACTCTCCGCAGGGCAGTGCCAGGGGGCTGCCCGTGCCTGCTCCCTGTTGCGGGAGAGCCCCTGCCCTGGCCGGCTGTCCCCACCCTGAGGTAGGCCTTAGTGACACGCGGTCTGTCGGTCCAAGGGCCGTGCTGGGCCGGAAGCCGGCTCCCCTCATTACAGGTGGCAGGCGACCAGGGTCTCTTCCTGGATCCAGGGAGTGGGTGCAGAGGTGGGCCAGTCTGTTGGCACCCCCCTTTCCTGGCATCTGCCTGCCCTAACTTTGGTGTCCGCTTCAAGAGGGCAGCCCAGCGTGTCAAACCATCAAAGGAAAAACATTCTTTCCCCACAAATAACCGAAAACAAAAAGCCCCTCCAATGGGGCAAGTGCCGAGGGTTGTGGCAGAAGCAGCCAGCCTACTGGGGAGGACAGGGCCAGTCTCCTCTGCCCGCCCCGCCTGCGTGTCCCAGCGGGGTCCTCAGCCAGGCCGGCCAGGCCTGTCGTCCGGGCGCGGTGGAGGGAGTTGGGCGTTCTGGGGTGGCGCTGTCGCGGGGAATGCACAGGTGTCCTCTCTCCCAAGCTCTCATTGCCTGCAATGCCAACCTAAGCTGCCCTAAAACATGCAGAATAACACGCCTGCAGGGTAGAAGGCCGGGGCTGAAATTAAAAGGTCTTTTTCAATTAAAAAATATTTCAAATGATTTTGTTTTAAATTGTTGGGAGGGGGGCTTAGGGGGGCATTTTTGCCTAGTGGAGCAAACCTACCCTACCCTACAACTATGCGCGGCCACTGCACCTGCACGGCGTTGTCTGCTCAGTGGCCTCGGCACCTGCCCACTGCCCCCCGGAATGTGTGCAGGGAGCCATCAGACCATGGACTCGGTCTCCACTGGCCCTTGGGGGCCCCCCTTCCGAGAGAGCTTCAGGACAGTGGGCTTGGCAGGGTCATCGCTGGCCGGCTGAGTCGTCAGCCCTTCCTGCCCCTCCTGAGCAGTGTCGGGGTAGATGACCAGGAATGTGGCCGCCAGGAAGCCCAGGAAGGAGCCAACGGAGGCCACCACGGGGATGACTCGGACGGTGCCCACGGCATCCACCACGCCCCCGAGGGCCGAGGCCACCAGGATCTGGGAGATGTACACCTGGCAGGACAGGATGGCGCAGTCGATGCCAAACCCTCGCTTTGAGTTCCCGGGGCTGTGGTGGACGTACTGCAAGAGAAGAGGGTGTGGCGTAAGCAGGGGGGGGCCACTGCCCCCCAGAAACCCCCTGAGGCATGCCCTGCTCAGCACCGAGGGCAGGAGTGGGACCGCGGTGACGCAGCAGCCAGCCCATGGAACCAGACAGCACGTGGCTTCCTGTGGGTCCTGGAGAGAAGGTCAGGAAGGAGCACGTGGGACCAGGCTGTTCCAAGGGGACCAGGATCCACCGGGCATGGTCGCTGGCCCACAAGGGAGGTCAGGTTCAGGACATCCGCAGGCCCTACATGGCACAGAGCCTCCGGACGGGAACAACCAGGGGTGAACCATGTCCCCAACCACTATGGAAGGAGACCCTCAACTGCTGTCTCTGTGGGACCTCTCTGACGAGTGTCCAGAGCAAATACAGGCACGCACAGCAGCGTAGAACCCAAACCACTCCACAGTCTCAGGATGAACAGGAGCCGTCAGGAGAGACGGACAGGCCACGGGGCAGCCACACTGAACCTGTTATCAGGTCAACTGACTGGGCTGCCCCAGGAAACCCTGAGTGCGACCCTCCTCACCAGGAGCCAAGCCTGGAGGGCTGGGGGTGTGAATTCACCCTCCAGAGCCGCAGCTTGCCCCCAGCCCAAGCCAGATGCCCAGTGGGCAGTAACTCCTGGGCCCGCCCGCCCTGGCAACACTAAGAAACTCAGCCCTGAGCCAAGCTCCCCTCTCTCTCAGCAGGGAGGGGAGCAACTCCAGGGTGGGCATGGGCAGCCTTAACCCTGGCGTCCAGAAGAGACGTGCTTACAGCCCAGGGAAGGAGCGCAAAGGGGCTGCCCACAGAAAGGCCAGTGTTAAGGCTGTGGGAGAGCCAGGAGGCCTTGGAACCTGCAGGGGTAGTTCCAGGCTGCTCTGCAGGGGGTGAGTGTGTGGCAGGGGGATGGGCCACGACTGAAGCAGGTCCTCACAGGAAGTCAGACATGGCCCAGGACCCGGTGAGAGGGGCCACTGTGCCAGCAATGGGGCGGGCGCAGCAAGGCACCATGCCCTGGGGGAGTGGGGCAGTGGGGCCCATCTCACACCCTGCCAGCCCTCATGAGGCTTGAAGCAGCACAGATGGGCGTGCATCCGGTCAGGCAGAGCTTCAGAGCCTCGGTTACTTACGGGGCTGGAGGTGGGTAGGGGTTTAATAATCAGTATGTTCATGTGAACTTGTGTAAACTCAACTCCAGGTTCCGTGAACGTGACAGGTTGAGACCCATAGTGGCCAGGGTGCCCTCCCGGGACAACGCGCCCCTCCCCGAGGTCAACCTAGGCTCTGCCCACCTGGTCAGCTTCCTGGTTCTATCCCCACTCCACCCAAGCCCTCCCTCGCACCTGCCAACCTGCCACACCTATTGGTACAGCTAAGTAGGGTCAACCCTGCACACCTGCTCCCTCCTGTACTACTCCACGCTGCACACCTGCTCCTCTAGTACTACTACACCCTGCACACCTGCTCCCTCCTGTACTACTCCACCCTGCACACCTGCTCCCTCCTGTACTACTCCACCCTGCACACCTGCTCCCTCCTGTACTACTCCACCTTGCATACCTGCTCCCTCCTGTACTT